GGTTTCATTGAGAGATAGGCCATCGGAAAAAATGTGTGGACTACATTTGTTTTGATTTGGGGACGGTGGTGGTAAATCGGAGGGGGCTTCAAAAACTCGTGGGAGAATGGAATGAAAAGATAATGGGATTTTTCCAAGACCTTTTTGAAGCCCACTAGTATAGAGGTCGGAATTGGATAAGCCTTCCCAAATAATCTGCCAGTAGGCACTTAGATTCTGGGAGCCAGTGTGAAGAGATGCTTAAGAGCTGAGGAAGACCAAAGAATGTGTAAATTCTTTAATTTCTGGGAGGCCTGTGTTAAGTGCCATTAAGTTAATTCTGACTTATAGTGACCCTCCAAAAGCAGCTGTTGGGTTCGAACCTCCAACCTTTTGATTAGCAGTCCATTGTGTATCTTACATCTCCATGCCAGGAGTCGTATTGATAAGCCTGAATTCACTGACATCCAGTTAACTCTGACTCATAGCCATCCTGTATAGGGTTTCTGAACCTGGAAATCTTTACACCAGCTAAAAGCTTCTTTTTCTCCGGTGGAGTGGCTGGTGGGTTTGAATCACCAACCTTGTGGTGAGCAAGTTAGACTTACCCTACAGCACCACCAGGGTTCCTTATAAATAGGCCCAAAGGGACCTGTAAATAGTAGTGTTGTGTTGTGCCCTTGCGTCAGTTCCGACTCATGGTGGGTTTGAATTGCCAACTTTGTGTTTACCAGTCCAATGCTTATTCTACAGCACCACATCAAGACTTGTAAATAGTGTTGTTGTTGTTGTTAAGTGCAATTGAGTCAGTTTCCAAAGAGCAGCTGGTGGGTTTGAACCACTGATCTCGTGGTTAGCAGTCTAGTGCTTACCCTACAGTGCTACACTGGGTCCCTAAATTGGGTGGGGGTAGAGAGTCCTGGTGTGGCACTGTGGGTTAATGTGCCAGAATGCAAAGCCATTTGACCTGCAAGGTTGGCAGTTCAAGCTTACTAGGTGCTCCTTGGAAACCCTCTACAAGGTCACTCTGGGTCGGGATCGACTCGACGGCACTTCACAACAGCAACCTAAACCCACTGCCATCGAGTCAGTTCCAATTTATAGCAACCCTGTAGATTTCCGAAGAGCAGTTGGTAAGTTTGAACTCTCGACCTTGTTGTTTGCAGTCCATTGCTGATCGTACAGTGCCATACTAGGAGTCCCAGGATACAGTATCACTGCTCCCTAAGGATCATCTTTATAGGAGCAGACTGTTGTGAAATGCTGAAAACTTGTTCCTGACTCAAAGAGACCCTGTATAGGATTTCCCCAAGGAGCGGCTGGTGAGTCTGAACCACTGACCCTGTGGTTCATACTGACCTTGCAGCCCAGTACATTGCCCTGCAGCACCACACCAGGGCTCCACAGATGAGCAGATAGCTTCATCTTTTTCCCAAGGAGCAGTTGGTGGGCTTGAGCCACTGACTTTGTGATTAGTACCCATCGCTTAACCCACTGCACCAACAGGGCTCCTATAGTTAGCCCATTTAAAAAAATTTTTTTAATCTTATTGCCATCTAACCATTTACGATTCATAGTGAGCCTATTTGGACAGAGTAGAATTGCTCCACAGGATTTCTGAGACTAGATCTTTACGGGAGCAGACAGCCTCATGGTTATCCCAGGGGAGCAGCTCGTGGGTTTTGAACTGCAGCCCACATGCTCCAGCCCTTACCGGTGTGGTGAGCGGTGGTGGTGGTTATGTGCCATGGAGTCGGTTCCGACTCATAGCGACCCTGTACAGGGTTTCTGAGGCTGTAAATCTTTACAGGAGCAGAAAGCCTCATTTTTCTCCCACGGAACAGCTGGTGGTTTCAAACTGCTGACCCTGTAAACAGATACTGTAGAAGTTCCCAGAATAACATGTAAATGGATACTTGTAAGAGTATGGGATCTTCATAGGTATGTCAACAGACACTTTAATGCTGAGACAGAGTCCCCAATGAGACATGAAAACAGACACTATCATGCTAAGGAGATCACCAGCAGGATGTGTAAACAGACACTTAATTCTAGGGAGGAAGGATTCCAAAGTCAGGGAGGGGTTTCTGCATCAGGAACTGTAAATAGTCATTTAGGTGCCAAATGAATCACTGTTTGTAAGCATCTGTATACAAGCCCTGGTCCGTCTCTGACAAGGAAGGCAAAATCTTGAAGTCAGTTTGTGGCCGGAGGAGAGGTCACACCATACCTGGGTAGTGAGATTACCCTGCATCCTGTAGGTGGGAGATTCCTAGAGTGATTAACAGGCCCTTGGTTGTCTTATAGGTTATACATTGGGCTGCTAACCACAAGCTTGTCATTTCAAACCCACCAGCTGCTTGGAGGGAAAACAGATGAGGAGGCTGTCTGCACCAGTAAAAAGTTGTTGTTAAGTGCCGTGGAGTCGATTCCGACTCACAGCGACCCTATACAGGGTTTCCAAGGCTGGAAATCTTTACAGGAGCAGAAAGCCTCATCTTTCTCCTGTGGAACTGCTGACCTTGAGGTTCGCAGCCCGATTCGTAACCATTACTCTACTACCCTTGGAAACTATAGGGAGCAGTTGTACTGTTCTTAAGGATCACTGTGACCCAGACTCGATATATATGCTGGCAACGGTTTGAAGAGCTCCTCTGGTGGAGTGGTGGGTTAAGCACCAGCTGCTAACTTCAAAGTTGGTGGTTCAAACCCACCAGCTGCTCTACAGGAGAAAGATGAGACTGTCTGCTCCCATAAAGACTGACACTCTCAGAAACCCTAAGGAGCCGCTCTGTCTGTCCTGTAGAGGGCTGATGAGTTGGAATCCACTTGATGTTGTTGCTAAGTGCTAACAAGTGGATTCCAACTCAGGCCACCCTGTATAGGGTTTCTGGAGCTTTCAATCTTCCAGGGAGCAGAAAGCCTCAATTTTCTCCCATGGAGCGGTTGGCGGGCTTGAACTGCGGAACTTGTCAGTTGCTAGTTCAGTGCTTACCATATGGAGTCACTGTGCTTCTGAACCAACTAGATGATAGTGAGGTGTTTTTCTTGTTGTTTTTGTTTGAAGAACTAAGAAGGGGTCCATGAATTTTTCTGTGAAGGGCCAGAGAGTAATGATTTTAGACTCTGTAGGCTACCCTGTCGAGAAGGCAGCCAGAGACACTTTGTAAATTGATGGGTGTGGCTGTTTGCCAATAAAACTTTATTTACAAAAATTGGGCAGGCCAGATTTGGCCTGTAGGTTGGTAATGTGCCAACCCCAACCCCTGATCGATGGCCCCATAGACCCATTGTCATCAAGTCGATTCTGACTTAGAGCAGAAAGTAGAACTGAGTGCCCCATGGGCTTCTAAGGGGGTAAATCTTTACAGAAGCAGACTGCCACTTCTTTCTCCTGTTGGCCCATGAAATTGCCAACCTTATGGCTAAGGGTCAAGGTTAGGGGTCAAGTGTGTGGCCACAGCACCACCTAGCCTCCTCCTCCAGATGGCCCAGGTTGTTGTTGTTAATTGCTGTCAAGTTGGTTCTGACACATAGTGACTCTGTATAACATTCCTGAGGGGCAGCTGGTGAGTTTGAACTGCCGACCTTGCAGTTAGCAGTCATAGTGTTTCTATAACACCACACCAGGATTCTAGGTGGTCCCATAGAGTCCTGTAAACAGTTATTACTCAGAGATCCCTCACTCCCCTTTAGAACAATGTGTAAGCAGCTGGGGGAAGTCTCCCTAGGCATCTGTAAACAGATACTTAAGTGGTGGGGAATAGGTTTCTGAGACTAAAGCTTTAGGGGGCACAGAAAAATCTCATCTTCTCCTAGGAAGTGGCTGGTGGGTTTGAACTGTCGACCTTGTGGTTAGCAGCCCACTGCTTATCTCCCTACTTTTTATGCTTTTTATAAGGTCTTATACTGTTGTTGTTAAATCTCGTGGAGCAACTCATAGCAACACTGTATAGGGTTTCCAAGGAGCAGCCAGTGGGTTTGAACAGCTGACCTTGCAGTTCAAACCAACCTTATGGTCCAGTGCTTATCCTACAGCACCACACCATGACTCTGACATCTTGTTGTTGTTATGTGCCGTGGAGTAGATGTGACCCTGTTTAGGGTTTCCAAGGAGCAGCTGATGGGTTTAAACTGCTAACGTTATGGTTTGAAGTCCATTGTTGACCCTAGAGTGCTACACCAGGAGTCCAGCATAGTATATCAATTCAGTTAAACACTAGTGAGACCATGCATTGAAGTGAACTTCAGAGTGAGGCTGAGCAGATCATCAGGAATGAAAGAGAAACAAATACAAAGACAAGCATTTGTCTAGCAACCAGCTGAAAACAGGTCCTTGAATGCTGGTGCCATCCTCCCTCTTCTCACATACAGGAGACCACTAATGGATAGTCCAGAGTAGGTGGTGATGTGAGGATCATGTTGCTGATTTTGAAGGAAAGGCATTGTTGTATTAGGGAAAGAAACTGTTCCATTTTGATATGAATCTTCCTCTAGGAGTTATATGTATATTGAGGCAAAGTGATTAATAGGAATAGTTGGGGCTGCAAGTAAAAGAAATGTATTTTGGGTTTTCATTGCCTGCGGAGATAGACAGTATGGGACCGCTGGACCTTGTGTCGCTCTCCTACTATGAGGGACCTTCAAAAAGTTCATCGATTCCATTATCGCTTGATTCCATCTTTCTACAAACTTTTTGGAGCCCCCTCGTTATATACCTTTCTCCCAATAAACTGCTTTGCAGTCTGAGATGGCTGCTGGGATTCCAGCCTCCAAACCCACATGCTGTCCAGTCGTCTCTGAAGGAGTTTCTGAAAGCTCTCAAGCCACACTTCTGGTGCCATCCCATTAGCCTGAGAGAACCTGACTGTCCACAGGGCCGAGAGATGAATTCTAGGTTCCAGCCACATACCCAGCTAAGCACTGAGTCCTTACTCCTCAGAGCTCCCTTTCAAAACGAGGGACCTCATAGAGAGACGTCTCTGCAGCCTGGAACCCTCTCCCTCTCTCCATAGGCGACCATGTCTGAATCTGGGCACAGTCAGCCCGGGCTCTATGGGCTAGAGCGGCGGCGACGGTGGAAGGAGCCTGGATCTGGCGGCCCCCAGAATCTCTCTGGGCCTGGTGGTCGGGAACGGGAATACATCGCACCGTGGGAGAGGGAAAGACGGGTGAGTGTCTGGGCCCAAGGGCTGCACTCATTCCCCTAGTATGCACTGGACACCTGCCCTGGGCCCAGAACTAGTACAGATGCTGGGGGAATATCTGGGAGCAACGGACACGCCTCCTGGAATGATGGTAGGTGCAATGAAGGGTTGGGGTCTGCCTCCTTGAGCAGGCGAATTGAGCAGAGACAAAGCGGATGGGGGTGATGGGGATAGAGTTGCTAAAATTGGAGTGAAAAACATTCCAGATGGGACAAGTGCAGGTGACGTGTTTCTAGGTGTTCCAGATAGTAGCCAGGAGGCCGGTGTTGGTGCAGTGGATGAAGGAGGAGGGAGAGTTCAAGTCAGGCAGGTCACGGGCCTTGGAGGCCCTAGGGGAAACGTTGGAGTCCACTCTGAGTGAACGTGGCATTGGTGTCGTAGCTCATGTTGTGAAGAGTTGTGGCATGGTAGTGGCAGCAGCTGTTGGCATTTATGGAGCGTGCTACATGCTAGTCCCGGCCATGTGCTCTTGGATTCAAAGCTGCTCCCAGCAATATGGGACTTGTGGGGACAGCAAAGCCCTGAGGTGAAGAGACTTGCCCAGAGCCAGGCCTGCCTGAGTCTCGAGCACAGCACCATTGTGCCTGCCTTGGAGAGGGCACCCCGGCCTTGGAATCCAGAAGCCTTGGTTTGGGTCCAGTTTTTGCTTGGCTTTGCTCCTGCGATTGGGCTGCTCATTGCCGGAACCAGCCCACCTCAGAGAGTTGTTCCCGGGGTTGAAGAGCCAGACAAGGACAAAGCTCGAGGACAGAGTTCTCCAGCACAGTGAGCTGGGCGCCTGCTTGTTCCTTGTCTTGGTTCCCAGCGGCAGTGAGATCACAGTCTCTCATCACTCCACACACCTCCTTCTGGGGCAATGTGCTCATCTTCCTCTACCTCCCGTCTCAATACCAGCAACAGCCAAATCTCTGTCTTCAGCTCTGATTGCACTCCAGAGCTGGCCAGGCAGCCTCCTCACTTTTCCTGTGGGCTTCTCACATCCCAGTGTCCCCTGCAGGCCTAAGCAGCTTCCCACCCTTTCTCCTCCTCCTCCCCATCAGTCCCCCCACCCGCCCCCAGTCAGTCACCACATTGCTGCACAATCTGCCACCTGAATGTATGAGGGGGCTTCAAAAAGTTCATGGAAAATGCAATGAAAAGATAGTGAAAATTTCCACACACTTTTGAAGCCCCCTTGTACCTCCTACCCACCATTAAATCCCCTCCCTCACAGACTGGGTCCCAGGTGGAACCTTGTCACCTAGCTCCCTCCCTGGCTTCCAGGAAATCCACAACCTTTGCTCCTCCAGCTCCACTCCCTCCTTCTTTCCATTTTCACATCATTCTTGTGTTTGTCCTTCAGCATCAGCCAGTGGAGGTGTCCCTAATAAGTAAGTGAGGCCCCGTGAGGGGTTAAGACTCTCCTGGGGTGACTCATGGAATCAGAGAAGGACCAGGACTCGAACCCTGGTACTCCCCTCTCTCCAGCAGATTAGGAATGGGTCAGAGGAGGTATGAAGAGGACCTGATGGGGAGGGGCCCTGGCACTTAGGGGAGAGGTGTTGAAGACAGCACCTGCCATGGGGCCCCGGAGGAAGACATTTCTCCTCCCATTTCCAGACCAGGAGACAAGCTTCCATGAGGGTGGTGCCTGATCTCAGCTCACGTCACCATCGATGGCAGAGCCAGCTTTGAGCAGTAGCCCTTTCTAGCTGCACAGCCCGAGCGCCTTCCCTTGGGGCTCCTTGTCTGCTGGGAGCAGCAGGGTTCTGGAGCCAGATACATTTTCACTTAAATAATGCAGACATTATGGGTTTTTTTGTAAACCTCATAACCTCTCCTGCGTTAGTTCCCTCTCTCATTAAATGGTATGGTATTTACATGAGCATGTTATGCTTAAAGGTTCAGTGGTTTAGGGCCATCGATTTAACCTCTCTGCCTGAGTTTCCTCATTGGGCAAACGAAGAGGACAGTAGCATGTACTTCTGGGGTCATTGGCAGGGTTGAGAGGTCAATACGTAAAGGCATTTAGAAGAGTGCTGGCCAATGCAGGTGTCCAGGAAGACAGTTCTGAGTAACTCTCCTCCCTTACCACAGGATGGCAGCGAAGAGACAGGCAGCTCCATCATGCAGAAAACCCCCATCATCCTCTCCAAACCTCCGGCAGAGCGGGTGAGCTGGGGAGAACCTTCTGAGGGAGGGAGGGGTCAGGGCAGGGAGCTCCCGCTGACTGGAGCCTTCTCCCCTCTTTAGTCAAAGCAGCCTCCCCCACCCACCCCGGTGCCTGCTCCCCCACCTGCCCCCACTCCTCTAGAGAAGCCCATCGTCCTCATGAAGCCCCGGGAGGAGGGCAAGGGGCCTGCGACCGGGACAGGCACCTCTACCCCCGAGGGCACTGCCCCACCGCCCCCTGCAGCCCCTACCCCGCCCAAGGGAGAGAAGGAAGGGCAGAGACCCACGCAGCCTGTGTACCAGATCCAGAACCGGGGCATGGGCACCGCTGCGCCTGCAGCCATGGACCGTGAGTTGGGGCCGAGCAGGGTCAGGTGGGAGCCAGCACTCGCTCCCACAGACACCCTTACCGGACCCTCTGTCTCCTTTCCCCAGCGGTCGTGGGCCAGGCCAGACTGCTGCCCCCAGAGCGCATGAAGCACAGCATCAAGTTGGTGGATGACCAGATGAATTGGTGTGACAGTGCCATCGAGGTACCGCCTCCCTGCTGAGCCTCCTGCCCTCCCCTCCCCCGTGACAGGCTTCAGGCCTCTGCTGTCCTGGAGACCCAGAGCTCCGGTGCTGCTTGTTACAGTTACTGCAATACTCGGATCCTCCCTTTGAGTGTGGCCTCTCTCTGGCTCAGACTTCACTGTCCTGGACTGTCTACCTGCCTCTAGTCTTCCAGCCTTCACTGTCCCTCCTCTGCTGTCCTGTCACACCCTGCTCAGTTCCACACTCCCCAACAGCCTGCCCCTGTTACCTCTCAACTACAGTCTCACACCAAAGTCAGCTGGTTACAGAAGGTCAGGGCCGAACCCTTCAGCACTGCCTTGGAACTTTCTACAGTGAGGGCTGTGCTCTGCACTGCCCTGAAGGGGAGTCTCTACCTCCAGATGTGGCAACCATTCTGAACAGCACAGCCTTAGCTATTCTGATTTAATGTGTCTTAAGAATCATGGTGGCACTGCTGGTTAGCATTGGACTGCTAATGCAAGGTTAGCAGTTCAAACCCACCAGCCACTTTGTGGGAGAAAGATGAGGCTTTCTGTTCCTGCAGAACAATCTCTCTAACCCCATATGGGGTCAGTGTGAATCAGAAATGACTTGATGCCATGTAACAGCTTACTCGATGATAGTGGGCTTTGAGTGGGGTTAGGATTGGACCCAGGGTGATTTTTTAAAAAAACTTTCCCTGTGATTTGTCGGGGCAGCCCAGGAGAGTCTTGTTTGCCACCTAGTGGTGAAAGTTAGCCCCCTAGTGGTGAAAGTTAGTCGTTAAAGGTGACCTAGAGGTGAAAGGCAAGGAGCTCTGGAAGTATAGTGGTTACAAATCGGGCTGCAAGCTGCAAAGTCAGCAGTTCAAAACTACCAGCTATTCCATGGGAGAAAGATGAGGATTTCTGCTCCCGTAGAGATTTCTAGCCTTGGAAACACTGTACAGGGTTGCTGTGAGTTGGAACCGACTCCACGGCACATAACAACAACAAGAGGTGAGAAGCAGGACTTTTCCAGAATTACCAGTCCCACAGACTAGAGCCAGACAGACTGGTCTCCCCTCTCAGCACCTCACTGTCTTTCTCAGGCTTCTTCCCCATGTCTTCCAGCCTATTGGAAGCAGGAAGCCTCCAGCTCTCAGTTCTAGCTCCGGGGTCCGATCTCGGGTGGTCTGCCCTTCCTGCTTATTGTCTCTCCCCAAGGCCACACTGCTCTTATTCCTGCTGGTCACAGGCACAGGAAGTCCTTGGGAGGAAGGCACGCCTTCCTTCCTCACCCTCCTGGATATGGTTCTCTGTGAGGAACTTGCCACACACCCCATCACCTCCTTGTGCATATTCAGACTCTTTGCTCAGCTAGGGGGCTAGGGTTTCCAACGTTTCTCTTCGGGTGGAGTCCCCATTTCCCTGCAGTGCTGGCCGCTGATGTGTCTCCACACCTTCCTACAGTACCTGTTGGATCAGACCGATGTGCTGGTGGTTGGTGTCCTGGGCCTCCAGGGGACGGGAAAGTCCATGGTCATGTCGCTGTTGTCAGCCAACACCCCAGAGGAGGACCAGAGGTGAGGAGAGTGTCCAGTGGGTGATGAGGACCAAGAGGGAGGTGGGCCACCCCTACCCGGGCTGCAGTGGTTTACTGAGGGCTGTTGGGAAGTTGCTTCCCATCTCCAGGCCTCAATGTCTTTGTCAGCTGAGAATAATTGTGGACCAAATCTGTATGTAGCTCCCAACCTGTTCCTCCCCCTTCCCACCCCACCCAGGCAGTGGCATGTAGCCCAGTGAGGACGTGGGATGGTGTAGTCGTTGTAGCTCTGGAGTGAGGCCCACCTGTCTCAGCTCTGCTATCCCCAGCTGGTGACTCGTCTACACTGCTTGCTGTTGTAAAGTAGGTGGTATCACCGTGGATCCAGTAACCGTGGAGCTCCTGACAGTGTGTGCAGAATTTTGTCCTCATCCGCAGTTGGGCTTTTTCTCCAGTAACTTTCTCAAAGGGGGCTGGTGGAGACTAGAAAAGACTGTGAGCTTCCCCCGTCTTCCTGTGGGCTGTCAGCCTCTCGCAGGTCTCTCCTGCCTCTTCTCCGCTTACTCATGGCTTCAGCTCAGTTGGGCTCCATTTGGTGGCACCTTTCATTCTCTTCGTTGCACCTGCCACCCACAACTAGCAAAAATTCCCTGTGACTTGGTGTTCAGGTTCCCAAGGTGGAGAGCACCCTCTCCTTGAGCCAGGTCAGCCTCTGGTGTGGTGGCCTTGTGGCGACACTTGTCAAGTCCTGTTGTTTTTACCTCTGAATTCAGACTCTGTCTGCTACTCACCTCCTCCACTCCTCCCTCCCTGGTCCAAGCCACTACCCTGTCCCTGGAGGATACCAAGAGCTCTTAAGTGTCTCCATTAGTTCACTTCACCGTGTGCCAGTAGCTGTTCTAGGTGCTGGGGATACAACAGTAAAGAAAAATGCCAGAAATCTTTGTCCTCAGGGGGACTGCATGTTAATGGGGAAACAGAACAAACTAAGTCAACATATTTGACATGTTAGACAAGAGAACGAAACAAGGGAAGGGTTATAGGGAGAGAGTCTTGGGACACTGGGCTACCATTCTGAGCAGGACCATCAGGGGAGGCGTTTAGGAAAACCAGGCCTCAAAAGGAGGTAAGCGTTCAGTCAGAGGGGTTGGTAGGTGCAAATCCTCACAGGCAGGAGCTGGGCGACTGTCTCAGTTCTATAGTGCAGTTATATCAAATACCACAGATGGGTGGCCTTAACAAACAGAACTTGATTCTTTCACATTTTAGGAAGCTGGAAGTCCAAACTCAGGGTGCTGGTTCCAAAGGAACTGTGGGCTCTAGGGAAAGGTCCTGGTCTCCTTCCAGCATTTGTAGGCCCAGTGTTCCATGAAGAGCTCCATCCACCTTGGCATCAGTCTTCCCCTGGTTCTGGAGCTTCCCAGTGCAGGGACTCAGGGCCAAAGGACGCACTCTCCTGCCGCCTCTACCTTCTTGGTGGCAGTAGGTCCCTCTGAGCTCGGCTTGCTTATTTAATCTCTCTTACATCTCGAGGTTACCTCAAAATACAACCTAATCCTGTAGATTGCATCTGGCCTCGTTAACATCATAGAAGTGAGGATTTACAATACACTGGATAATTATGGAGCCCTGGTGGCACTGTGGGATAAGCACTGGACTACTAACCACAAGGTCAGCAGTCCAACCCACCAGGCTTCCTATGAGAGAAAGGTGAGGCTTTCTGATCCCATAAAGATTTAGAGCCTTGAAACCCTATACAAGGTTGCTGTGAATCTGAACCGACTCCGCAGCACCCAATGACAACATCACAGAATGATCAGATCAGATCAGGGCTGATCACATCGGATCACTTCATGGGAGTGATTATAGTGTATTAGATCTCATCATGGGAAAAATTAACATCTTAACTGCTGAACCGCTGAGAATCCTGGCCCAGCCCAGAACTGTAATGATTAAGGTGAGGCTGAGCAGCATGAGTGCCCCAGGGGGCTCATGGGAGAAATGGTCAGAGAGGTTGAGGAGCGCTGAGCCCTATAGGCCATGGTCCACTCTGTCTGCCCTATAGCCTTTGCCCCATTGCAGCTGGAGGGAACTCTGTAAACCAAGCTCTGCTCTGCTCGAGCTGATCCCTTCTCGCCTGATTCTCTTCTGTGGCTTCTCCCGGCTCCTAGGCCAAAGCCCAGCTCCTCAGCAGCCCCAGCAGGGCCTCCCTGGGCCCTCACTGCTCCCGACTCGGCGCCTCCTCTCTGCTTTGTACCTGCTGCTCTTTCATTCCTTCTACAAGCCCCCTGCCCTCTGCCTGGAATGTCCTTCCTCTGCTTCCATATTCTCGCACACACGCATGCATGTGCATCCCCTTAGCTAATGAACTCTCTCGTTCCTTTTTGTCCCTTGGCATCACTATCCCTTCGTCAAGGCAGCTGTCCCCATCTCCTCCCACTATGTCACCCCACTTAATTCTTCTGACGCCACAGTTCGGGGATTTGTAAGCTAGACTGGAAACTTCCCGAGAGCAGGGACTTTGTCTAGTGTACTGCTGGCTCCTTGATATCTGACACATAAGGAGGTCTTCAGGGCCTCCGTGTTAAGTGGAAAGTTGCCTCCTGTTTCTTAACACATTGCACATCTCAGACAGGTAGGACTTGCCCCATGAGAAGTAGGTACATTAATCCCAATTTTACAGATTGAGAGGAACAAAATCAAAATGGCCCAGATCGTTAGGTAAAAATCCTGTTGTCGACCTGGGGACTCTTGGGCCCAGAGTCAGTGACATAGCCACAGAGGACTAGAGTGGAGAGTGAAGCATCCAGCTGATAAGAAGAGAGGGCATCTGCACAAGAACACCCACACTTGCAGATAATACCCACCTGACCTGGTTTCAATGACTGGATGATCAGAGCTCAACTAGAAGAAGAAAGAAGAGGAAAAAAAGAGTAATCTGATACAATTTGATGAACTTCCTACACCTATGGATGCAATAGCTCAAAAGAGGGAACCCTATTCTTTACAGCGAGGATCATTCCCACCCCCTCCATACACAGAGTAGACAGGGATGGGCAACTTGGACATTGGCTACCCAAAATGGGGGGCTACAAAGGCAAGAAGTGACTGGCTTACAAGCTTTCAAGAGGGAACCTAGATCCAGAGGGCGTGCAGGAAGGTAGAATCTCCACTGAGTAGTATCCAATCTGTCTAGGCGGGGCTGATGAAATGCGGATAGGCCTCTTGTGATACAGTAGTGGATAATTGTTATCAGGACTGATTGTGAGGATTGGAAATGTAAAGGTAGACATTTTGTATCAAGAAGGGGAGTGATTGACTTTGCAGTCCAGGAGCGGAGGTCCCTGGGACCATCAAGGGAGAAGAGCGGAATGCAGGACCGTACCCAGAGAAGCAGTGATGCCTGAGATGGAGGCAGAGACGATGACGTGGAGAGATGGAGCAGCTGGAGACTTTAGACCCAGAGAGGGAGAGGGGCTGTGTGCTGACAACTGGGGGACAGGCTTGTAGGGTGTACCCTTTGGTTGGTTGATGATGCATGGAGGGGATTGTAACCATGGCAATGAAATGATATATGATAGGATGAATGTAAGACTAATGTTCTCCCATGTAAACTATCACATAATTAATAATAAAACATTTTTAAAAGAAAATCATCTTGTCTCAGTCATGGAGTGACTGAGTCGAGCTCAAGAGTTTAGGGCAGGGCTCGACTCTACCTACTTTGCCCTCGTGGCTCCAGCACCTGGTACAGGGAGAGAAATGTGGGCGGCTGATGGGGAAGAGCTGAGAACCCCGCCTCCTCAGAGGCGTATCCCCAGGGCCTGGCACACAGCAGGGATGCCTGGTGACTAACAGCTAACAATAATGTATCATTACTCATGAGGCACTGTTCTTAGGGCCTTAAGGAGTCCCAGTTGCACAGTGCGTTAAATGTTGGGCTGTTCACTGCAAGGTCGGTGGTTCAAACTCACCAGGCAGTCCACAGGAGAAAGATGTCTGCTCACGTAAAGACGGACAGTCTCAGAAACTTCCAGGAGCAGTTCTGTCCTGTAGGGTCGCTATGAGTCAGAATCGACTCAGTGGCTGTGGTCTTCAAAAAAAAAGTTTATGGAAAAATAGAAATAGAATTTTTCCACAGAGTTTTTGAAGCCCCCTTGTATTAAAGTCACGGTAAAATGAAAAGACTTGGTACTGTTGCTAGTCACCTTTTTACAGATGAGGAAACTGAGGAGGAGGTTGAGGAGCTTGCCCAAAGCAACACAACCTGAGAGAGGCCGAGCTGGGGCTTCAGTCTCAGTGGTCTGGCAGAGGCCATGCTCTCAAACGCCCCCTATCTCTTGGCTTTGTGACATGAACTCTTGAATCAGCTGAAGAGCAGGAGTGAAGTCAGATGGTACCAAACATGGTCCCCCAGACAGCAGGGGCCTTGGATGGAAGGCTTTGTGTGTGAGCAGGCAGGGGACCCGGCCTCATGTAATCATTTTTCAGGGTCACACTGTGGAGACGTCGTAAGCCAAGGACCCAGACTTACCACGAACCCCACTCCTCTCTACAGGGCATATGTCTTCCGGGCCCAGAGTGCTGAAATGAAGGAACGAGGGGGCAACCAGACCAGTGGCATTGACTTCTTCATTACGCAGGAACGGATCGTTTTCCTAGACACACAGGTGCCAACCTCACCTGCCCCATCCCGGCTTGGGTTCCATGGGGCTCCTGTCAAGCCATGGAAATGCCAGGTGCTCGTGGGCAAGTTGCATCTTTTCTTAGCCCTCGGTCTCCTCTGTGTCATCAGCTTATACATAGTAGCCTAAAGAATCTTCTGGCAGCGCAGTTCAAGTGTAGCCTTGCCTTTAGCTATTACTAGCTGGGTGGCTTTGGGTAGCCCTCAGTTTCCTTATCTGTCAGTCGGGTGATCACTGCACTCGGCTAACAGGACAGTGAGGCAGGGCAGGCACAGTTTGGATCCTCAAACACATCACTCCTGATGGCTGGAGCCGGCCCATCATGCCTCGGGTTGGCAGGCAGCTTTCCTCAGTTTCTCCTTGCTCTCAGGCAGCGTTTCTGTTTCTCCTCCTAACATCCAGAGTGTGGGATGCCTTCACCTTACATGCACTCGTGCCATTTTCAAACTGTACCAAGTGTCACACTCATGATGGGGGTTTTTGTTAGTTTTTAAGTCTATGTGGAATGCCTGATGAATTTGCCAGTCATCCTTGCGCAGGGGCCGGGCAGATTCCTATCATTGCCTAAGGAAGCACTCACCAGTATGTTTTGACCTAGCAGAGTTTTGAAAGCATTTCAGAGAACGAACACTATCCAGGGTCTCTAAGGGCCTAGCTCCTTCACATAAGAGGTATGACATTTATTAGTGGGAAAGGTTTTACCTCTGGGCCTGTGGCTTCATCTGAGGGCAGCCTTGCCTGTGAAGGAGCTGAGTAAAGGAACTTGGAAGCTTTTTCTGTGATCTTTTGATTGTGAATTGGGTGAAGGTCTACAGAGCACATGAGCCAACGATGCGCACACGTTCGTCTCCTTGATTGCAGTCCCGGCGATGGAGCCTCACTTCTCCCAGTCCCTCCCTGCGTGAACCGTTTTCCTTGAGCCGCGTTGAGCTTTGCTGGCCAGCACTGTCCTAAGCAGAAGCTGTCTGTTGGCGTTTCTGGCCTTATTTTGTCCCAAGAGTGGATGTAGAGTTGCCTTCCACACACGGACCTTGGGTGGCCGTGACCCTAAGGGTCCCAGCCTCCTTCCCTGATGCCCTCTTCTCTTGCCTGTGCAGCCCATCCTGAGCCCCTCCATCTTGGACCATCTCATCAACAACGACCGCAAACTGCCTCCGGAGTACAACCTTCCCCACACCTACGTGGAGATGCAGGTGAGTGGGTGACAGGGTTGGCCCTGGTTTCTGCTGCACGAGAGCCTAAGCGTCCAGGGGCTGTATGTAGGACGAGAATGGCTTGGAGAGTCTGTCCCCCTCGGGTGAGTCACGCTCGCTGGCTCCCTCTTCAGGCCTCAGTGTCACCTGTGGGGTCTCGGGGGCCCTGTGTGGGCATGCAGTGGGTACGCGAAGCCTCTATAGCCTGCCTGCTGTGCTACCCCCTCAGCTGAGCCCTGTAACTAGGGACCCCAGTTCTGGATAGAGTTGTCACTGCCCGTCCACCCTCAGTCCTTGCAGATTGCCGCCTTCCTCTTCACCGTGTGCCACGTGGTGATTGTCGTCCAGGACTGGTTCACGGACCTCAGTCTGTACAGGTGAGGCGCCACTGGGGAAGTGGCGGGACAGGAGCCACTAGTCCCACACAGCAGCCAGAGCCTTGCTTTTCAAATGTGAGTGCAGGTCCCCCTGCCCAACAAAGACTCACAGCCCTCTGCTAGGTGTACACCTTGATCACACCCCAGAGTCCTGCTGTACAAGGCCACCGCTCTGCCCTGGTCTCCCAAGTCCCCCTCGCAGCTGCTCTGGCCTCAGGGCTGCTCTCACTCAGACCTTCCATCTCCCCCGCCCCTCCCTCTCTGACTCTGCTGTGTTATACCCCCACCCCCACAGGATCTGTTTATGCTCCCTCTCCCCACTAGAATGTAAGCCCCAAGGGGGCAGGGGGGCTATGTAGTACAAACCCATGGAAGGGGGGACATAGGAGGAGCTGGCTGGTGTCGGCCTTGGGGTCTTGTCCATCTCCTTCAGGTCAGTGTGCCATCCCCTTGGTCCCTGGCAGGCAGGGAAAGAGAGGGGGTCAGGGCTTGACAGGAGCCTGCCTGAGGGACCTAGTAACTCCAGACATAACCGCTACATACACACACACCACACAATACACACAATACACAACATCACACAATACAAATACACACATACACACACACACCGTGAGTCCCCTTGGCTTCAGGCCCTGGGAGCCCAGCACCTTGGACACGGCACAGGCAGAAGGAGAGGATTTGGGAAGCAGATGTCTCCAAAGTCAGACAGCCCTGCGTCTCAGTCCCAGCCCTTATTGAGCATGTGTCTTCCCTTTCTCAGCTCCTTATCAGCAAAGCTATTTTGGGCAAGTTTTGTGAGTGGATAACTTGAAAGCCTTTAGCGTGGGTCTGGCGCCTGGGAAGAACTTATGAGATGGAAGCTCACTGGGTTCTTTAGTCACCCTGGGAGCGGGGCTTCCAGCTCTTGTGACTAGATCTGAGTAGATCCCTTCTGAAATGCTTCTCCCACTCCATCATCCACAGGGATTCGTCCATTCCACCAGCACTGGGGCCATCTGCTCTGGACATGGGGGACATCGAGGGATGCTGCTCGAGAGGAGTCAGCATGGGGCTCCTCAGAGTTGGGGAGCTCCTTATGTTGGGGGGTCCAGTTGTCTGTGAGGGGAGCATCCACAGCTTCTCACAGATCCTTTTTCCTTACCTCAGTGACTCATTTATTTACTCTTAAGTATTTTAAAACTCTGTTAAGTAATTTAAGGCAGCCTGGTGACACCACGGCTAAGTGCCTGGCTCCTAATCGGTTAGTGGTGGAGCTCACCCACCAGCTGCTCTGTACTCTGCCTCCTAGAGATTTCCAGCTAAAGACTCACTGAGGATCAGACTCGACTCCAGGGCAGTGGGGTTGTAGTTCTGGAGACCCTCTGGGGCGTTTCCACTCTCTGCTGTGGCTGCTGCTGTCGTTCTGTGCAGTTGAATCACTTCTGACTCATAGCAACCCTGTGTAGAGTTTTCCAGGACAGCTAGTGGGTTTGACCCACCATCCTTACAGGTAGCAGTCCACAGCGCCACACAAGGACTCCGTGCTGCAGGGCAGCAATGAGTCGGAATTGACTACAAATAACTGATTTGGTTTAATTTATTACTATTTTTCAATAGTGTAAATTCATTATATATTCACACAGTCAACCTGGGAACATGGAGTTAGTGTCTAAGAGGTTAGTGTCTGAATTCCCAGAGTTTTGTGACAGACAGTATTTCCTGTATTTAGCTGCTGCTGTTCAGTGCCGTCATGCCTGCTGTAGCTTCTGTCGTATCCTCAGCGGCCCCCGGCCCTGACCATGGCATGGGACATGGCCTCTCGGCCCGAGTCAAGCTCTCACTCCAAACCCCAGGTTCCTCCAGACGGCAGAGATGGTGAAGCCCTCCACCCCATCCCCCAGCCACGAGTCCAGCAGCTCCTCAGGCTCCGAGGAAGGCACCGAATACTACCCCCACCTGGGTGAGAGGCTTTCTGGGGGTCAGGGAGGGGCACTCCAGGGAGATGGGGAGGGTGGGGCGCTAGGCTAGCCACGACTTCTCCCCCACTTCCTGTCCCTCTGTGATTGCACTAGCAGCCTTTCGGGATCACTGGTGTCTCCCAGCTGGGGCTCAGGAAGTGAGTGTGTAGTGATGTTGAGGGGTCTGCGGACAGCCCGTTCTCCTTCCCTGAGCCATTGTACACGTGGTCCCCCTGCCTGCCCGCTGGGTCCTTTTCCAGCGGCTCCTGTCACCCCCTGGTCCAGCGTCCGTCTTCCTCATCACCTGTCCATCAGACTAGAGACACCTGAGGATGCCCACACACCATGTTTGTCCCCACATCGCCCAGCATAAACCTGGGGGCCATCAGCATTCTTACCCAGTGATCAGGACAGGTCCTTGGGATGAGAAAGAGGAGTGGACAAGGCTGTACCCGACTACCTCTCACGAGTCCCAACTCCCCTACCCTCCTCAGTCTTCCTGCAGAACAAGGCTCGCCGGGAGGACTTCTGTCCCCGGAAATTACGGCAGATGCACCTGATGATTGACCAGCTCATGGCCCACTCCCACCTGCGCTACAAGGGTGAGGTGCCCAAGTACCTGCCCACTCCCCACAGCCTGGAGCTACACGCTGACTGGGTCTCCTTCCCCTACACACCCTCTCCCCCCACCACACACACACCACCTGCAGCTGTGCGCTGACTGAGGTTTCTTCTCCAGGTACTCTCTCTATGCTACAGTGCAACATCTTCCCAGGACTGCCCCCGGACTTCCTGGACTCCGAGGTTAACTTGTTCCTCATGCCTTTCATGGACAGCGAAGCAGAGAGTGAAACTCCCCCAAGAGCAGGTACAGTCAGCCCCCCGGGGACCCACCCATAGAGACACAGGTCCTTCCTAGTCCGAGGAGACATGGACCCCACCCTGGTTTGAGAGGAGACCAGAGCAGTCTTAGTAAGGGGCCATGGGCCTGTCTCCAGGTCACTTGAACCCTGTTTTCAGAGCCTGTTTCCAGGTCATGGTAATGAGGAGCTAGGGGGTAGGGGCTCAGTCTCCCTGTGTCCCTGATGTGTCCCAGATGCTGGTTGACTGGGAGGAGGGCCCTCAGTGGCGGGCTGTCCCCCTGACACTCCCCTGACACTTCCCAGGACCTGGCTCCAGCCCGCTCTTCTCCCTGCTGCCTGGGTACCGTGGCCACCCCAGTTTCCAGTCCCTGGTGAGCAAGCTCCGGAGCCAGGTGATGTCCATGGCCCGGCCACAGCTGTCCCACACCATCCTCACTGAGAAGAACTGGTGAGAGCTCGTGGTGGAGGGCCACATAGAGAAGGGGGGCTCCCCTCTGGTGCACACCTCCTCCTTTCCGACGCTCTGCCGTCTTCTCTCCTCCTGATGACTCGGTGATGGGGAGGTTGTGTCACTGCTTCCTGGGAGATTGCAGCTCAAAGAGGAAGTGGTTTGTCCATGGCTACAAAGGGAGGAAGTTTCCTAGCTGTGGTTGTGTTGTCCTTGTTAGAAGTAGGACCTGTCAGCCCAGTTCAGCTAAAAGAAGACTTCTTCAGCCTCACAGGAGCTGCCCCTGCCGCTCTCCCTGGGGGGCTCAGTCGTTCTCCTCCCTCCCTCTCGGCCTGTGCACAGCTCCTGTCTTCTGTGACTGTGTGGGTCCAGAGCCCACAGCAGGTGGCACTAGGCATGCCTCGTCTTAGGCCCAGGTTCCTAGGGCCTGGCTCCCGGGCTCCCTTTGTAGCCAGCTGTGGCCAGAAGGGGTGAGGGGTGCAAACCCAACAGCTGGAGAGCCACTCCAGGAAGCATGGGGCAGGGGTGAGCGGAGTTGGCGTTCAGCCCCAGCTCTGCACCTCCTGTTTGCCTACCCAGACCCCGTGGGGAGAAGTAAAATGTGGGGGTGGAAGGTTGCACGGCTGTTGCTTGAAATTTCTGATCATTACAAGACTCTGGAGGGAGGTGGAGGCAAGTATCCCCACCCAGAAAGGCCGATGCTGAGAGAGGGGGAGGGACTCTAGACATGCAGATGGGGCTTGAAGTCTCAGTCTAAACCCAGCACTGGCATAACAGGTGGGGCCGCCTCCCTCCAGGGCCGGCGTCTTCCTTCAGCCCCATCCGAGGCTCAGCCCCACACCTCCACTGACTAAGTAGAGGGTGTGCTGGGAGGGCTGGCTGCTGTCAGAATTAGGAGGAAGGCTGAGCCTGCCTCATAGGAATTGTCCACGGGGGATGTGGAGCTTGCTTCTCTTTCCCCCAAGCTTCCGTTTACAGTTGGCCCGTGCTCTGGACCTCCGTGCCCCAGCAGTCCAGAGCAGGGGTCCCTGAGTGCTGACCTCCCCCCACAGGTTCCACTATGCTGCTCGGATCTGGGACGGGGTGAGGAAGTCCTCTGCACTGGCAGAGTACAGCCGCCTGCTGGCCTGAAGCCCAGGGAAGGACCGCATGCAGGGACCCTTCGGGGTCTCCGGTGGACGGCAAGGGAACACCGTGTCCCCCCTCCAGCTGGCAGCTGGACAGTGACAGCAGATCTGAGGGACAAGGATTGCGCCTTCCTCAGCTGGAGACGTGGGGCGTCCAGGGCCAGGCCCACCTCAGTGGAGGTGGTTCAGGTGTCAACTTTGAGATCCTGCCCCAACCTGCGATGAGTCCACACAGGGAGGGGCCGTGGGAGGAGCCTGAGTGGTCCCAACAGGAAGCCCATGATCATCATGACCTTCGCTTCAGGGACAGCAACACCGGCTTCCTCTTTCTGACTCCAAGGAATATGGGCTAAAGTGGGGTCTGGAGGGCTCCTTTGTGGGCCTATCTGGTGGTTCCAATAAACACTGTCAGGCAAGCATGGTCTGGTGCTTCTCCGCCCATTGTGCCGTCCTAGGAGCTCTTGTGGGCCCGTCACCCTCAGCCTCCCCCTGGAGCCTGAGACACATCTGCTGCTCAGACGGGCACTGGAAGCCTCTAGAGTGATGAGGAGACATAGCACCCACCCCAACTTAGATACAGCGCTGCTCTCATTCGCTCCCACTCCAAGACTGTCTGCCTTTGGTTGGTAGTGTAATTGTCTGCCTTTGGTGGGTTAGTGTTAATTGTCTGCCTTTGGTGGGTTGGTGTTAATTGTCTGCCTTTGGTGGGTTAGTGTTAATTGTCTGCCTTTGGTGGGTTGGTGTTAATTGTCTGCCTTTGGTGGGTTAGTGTTAATTGTCTGCCTTTGGTGGGTTGGTGTTAATTGTCTGCCTTTGGTGGGTTAGTGTTAATTGTCTGCCTTTGGTGGGTTGGTGTTAATTGCCGTCATGTTGGTTTTGTATGTGTTGGGTTTCCAAGGCTGTAGTCTTTGTAAGAGCAGAAAACTCTTTTTCTCCCATAGAGTGGCTAGTGGGCTCGAAATGCAGACCTATGGCTTGCAGTCCATTGCTTATCCTACAGAGCCCCACTGCACATCCCTTACCTTTGGTTAAATGCAGTGCCCACTTGTGTTTACAAAATAGAAGGTGTCTTAAATATACCTACCCTTAGCTGATACGGTTCCTACTCTTGTTCAGACCCCATACCTTGCCCTTACAGACTATGTTTGTGTTTGGCTAACTGGGATTTCTTTTGCTCCTTATAAACCTTGTCAACTCGGGAAAACAGCTGTGATGGTGGTACCATGGTCAAGCTCTGCTACTGCCTACAAGGTGGGACGTGCAAACCCACCCAGCCATGCATGGGAGGAAGACTTTGCAAACTGCTCCCATAAAGATTACAGCCCAGAAAACCCTATGTGGTGCTTGTAGTCTGTCATCGAGGGCCGCTGTGAGCTGAAAATGGACTCAAGGGCACCTACAGACACCGCTGTTAATTTAAATCCAGACCTGTCCTCAAGGCCGAACGCGTCTACCTCCAGGGTGCTTCGTAATCTCAGTACTGGGTTTCCCAAAGGGTCTCCGCCCCTGGTTAGCCCTGACCGTCAAATCCCACCACTCCTCACTGTCAGTGGACCCATTAACTCTCCACCTGGTGCAGTACTTCATCCACCAGCCCCCCACCCCCCAATGCCTCTGGTTGGTTGCTGTTGCCTTGAGTATTCTCAGGCAGCGCAGCTGTGTGTGGAAATCCCTGGGTTTTTCCAGACCAGCCCAGCTGAAGGCAGTGGGGCAGTGACGAGCATGCAGCAGGCCGGAAGTCGGGCTTTCTGCAGACACAGTGGTGGAGCCCTCTATGATGCCAATGTTGACGTGCTCCTCCAGGCTCCAGGGGAGCTGTGGTCTTCACTTCTCATTCCTTTGCCCCAACTACCCGGACCTATGCTGAAACTAGGTGTCTTTCCTAGTTAGCTCTCTGCCCTTGTCCCATGTCCCATCCCACTCCCTGCTTCCTGGGGAAGATGGGGCAGGCGCCAGAGAGGAGATGAAGCCAGGGGCACGTGGCTGAGCCCAGCACAGGGGCTGGAGAAACTTCCTACCCTGCCCCAGCCCACCCAGCCTGGGCACAGAACCTGTGTCCTCCAAGCCCTTCCCTGCCATCTGCCGCTGACTCATGGAGGCTGCTGGTCAGAGGTGGGGAGAAAGACCTGGGTCTGCCTTTTGGGGTGTCCCTGGACGTGTGGAGCACCCAGTAGACGCCAAAGGAGATGATGCAGGGACTTCAGGTCTCCAGGCCTAGAATTGCCCAGGTGAAGGCGTGAGGTCCCTCTGGAGGCCTGCCCCAGCGTTTCCACCAGCAGCACCTCAGGGTCCTTGCTCGGTGGGCACTGTACTGTTACCAGGACTCCCACGGACTAGCCTGTCCCATCAGTTTGCCAAAAATGTCACTGTCTGGGTAGATGCTGTGGCGGTAGCCTTCCTGGGAGCACGAGTGTGGCCTGGTGGTAGCATGCACCCTCCATGTCCAGCACAGGTCTCTGGTGATGCTGCAGACCACCGTGGCCACCGGCTAGCTGCACCGCGCCTGTGGGGCCACCCTGTCTCGGATGGGCCACGGGACGCAGGGCCTGTCCCCCAGTGTGTGCCGCTTGTGGCTCTCCAGTGCCTCCGCCGTCTCCTCCAGCAGGTGGGCGCAGGCAGACCTTGGGCCCCTCACATGCTCCCACTGTGGAACAAAGGTGCTACTCATGGGTTTCCACATCAGAGAAGGTCATGGCGTTTCCGCAGCTGCCTGGCCTCCAGCACTTGCCCCATGCTGAACAGCATGTTACTCATAAGGGTCAGCTCTGGAGTTCTTGGGTAGTGCAAATGGTTAAGCACAGGACTATTAACCAAAAGGTTAGCAGTTCAAACCTAACCAGAGGCACCTTGGAAGACAGGCTTGGCGATCCGCTTCCAAAGGGTCACAGCCTCGAAACCCTTACAAAGTGGTTCTACTCTGCACACCTGGGCTCTCCAAGACTCAAAACAAACCTGCTGTCAGCTAATCAGTTCCCACTCAATGACCCTATACATAGGCTCCCAGACTCAACCTCATCTTTAGTCTGCTGAGTGGCTGGTGGGTTTGAACCACCAACTTTACGATTAGTAGCCCAACGCCTACACATTACCACCATGGCTGCTTCTATGTGAGGGCAACTAATGACAAAACATCAGTTCTGACGACAGGCCAGTCTGCTGCCTTGGACAAGTTACGAGACATCTCTGAACTTCCATAGTCTTATCTGTAAAATAAGGTCATCTTTGTACCTACCTCCTAGGGGTTGTGGGGTTGATGAAATGAGCTCATGGGAATAGCGCCTCACCTTTGGTTAAGTACCGTGGAGTCAGCTCCAACTCACAGTGACCCTGCACAGATTTCCGAGGCTGTAAATCTTTATGGGAGCAGAAAGCCCCATCTTTCCCCCCGCAGAACAGCTGGTAGTTTCGACCTTCAGGTTAGCAGCCAAATTCATAACCACTAAGCTACCAGAGCCCTCAATAAACATTAACTGGCGATAAACAGGTGCCAGGGCCCACGTGGAATGCTAGCATCTGCACTTGGCACTGTAGGATAAGCATTGGACCACAAAGTTGTTTTTAGCCCCAGGGTCGGCGGTTCAAACTTACCAGCCACTCCTTGGAAACCCTACACAGAAGCTGTTGGTTGGGACTGACTCTACAGCACTTAACATCTGTATCTTAATCTTGAGCCGTTTCCTAAGGTCAAGGGTAACTGGGGGCCCCAAAGGATGCTAGAACCATCACTATCCACGGGGATGAGTTGTGAGTACTAGGGTCAAGGCCCTGGCCATCTTTAGAATGTTGTACACAGAATCTAGAACCTTCTTTCTCCTCCGTGGCCATCTGGACCTGTGAAATTACTGGCCGCACATGGTAGAGGCAGCAAAGTCTGCAAGCTGACTTGGCTCCCCAATTACTGTGTCCCCCTTAAGATGGCCAGTGGCTTCTTCCCCTTGACACCAAGCATTCTGAAACTCTAAAGGGAAGCTGGGCTCACATCACTGGCCCTCCGGCTGCCTTAGCTGGAAGATGGGCCTCCCCTCCCCGTCACAGGGTGCTGAATGGCCCCCACTCAGTTCCTGGCCAGTATGCTTTACCACCTACCTCCCAGTTCCCTAAGCCGTTGATCCCACTGCTCATATTGCATTGTCATTGACTTGACCCTTGACTCCTGGCCATCTCATGTACAACAGGACAAAATGCTGCCTGGTCCAACCATTGTGATCCATAGGGTTTCTGTTGGCTAGTTTTCAGTAGCAGATAGGCAGGCATTTCTTCCTAGTCTAGAAACATCAATGAAACCTGTTCAGCATCTTAGCAAGAATGACTGCTGGGTGTGGCACTGCTTGACGTGCATTGGCTGGGAATCAAACCCAGTTCTTCCACATGGAAGGCAAGAATTCTCCCACAGAACCACCACAACCTCATTGCCAAGGTGATCCCAGGCTCAGGATCAAGGGTTCTTCTCTGCTCGTGTTTCTGGGTGCTTAGTCCAGCTGACACATTGGGTGTGAATCAGCTTTCCTCCTGTGCCCCTGCCCACTTAGCCCCACTGCTTCGTGGAAGTTCCCACCCTGCTAGGCTGTCCTGCTGGCTTCCCAGCACACTCTGCCTCATTTGGACTCCATTCCTTGGCCCACACTAAGCTCCATCCTGGAAACTCATCCTTCTTTGCACCTAAATCCAACCCTAGAAAGTTTTCCCTAAGCCTGGTTCACGTCCACAGGAGTCCTTGGGCTATATCCCCCATTCTGATCAAACCCCACCCCCCATCCCACCCCTGCCCCAAATCTCACTCATTTTTAAAACATGAGAATCTTGACTCAGCAGATGACTTTAGGCTTGGGCAGGTCTGAAGATGTCTGATGCATTTTGCATCCCCATAGTAGAATCTGGAACATGGGGTCAAATCTGACAAAGCAAGACTCTAGCAAGTCCTTCAAGTTTGGCTTCAGCCCTCCCTCCTCCAGTGTGGTGTAGGCACATACCCTCCATGAGACGCCTTCTCGCTCCACCCCATGGCTTTTCAGTGCAATCCTGGTGTCCCCACACATACACATACATGTACCACCATGGAAAGAGGCCAGCCCAATCTTAAGGACTCAGCATTGATACCTACCACCCCTACACACACACCAAACTCATGGAGAGGCAGCCAAAATTCCTCCCCACTCATCCCTAGTACCCCCCCCTCCCACCAAAGAAGTTGGTATCTAGTCGATTCCAACTCACAGCAACCCCATGGGTCAGACTAGAACTGAGCTCCATAGGGTTCTCATAGGTGCTTTTTTTCAGCAGCAAATTGCCAGGGCACTTCCGGCTGAATTCAAGTCACCAACCTTTGAGTGGTACCACCGAGGAGTCCATTGCAAACAGTCTCACTTCCACGTTCAGACTCATACCATCATATTGAAATGACTGTTTCCCACGGCCCTATTCCATCCTCATCCCCTACCCACTCACACCCCACCACCTCCCTCTTTTCTGCTCACCCTCAGGCTCCCATGGAGGTCCTCTGGCCTCCCCTCTCATTCCTCTCCATCCATCCGCATCACTCACAGGCATGACAATCACAGCTGGGATGCCCACCCTACCCCACCTCCGGTTACTTCACTTGTGAAGCATCCACTGGGGGCCTTTGGGACATGACAGAAGACGACATGAAATCGAAATGAAATAAACCCTTAGCAGACCCCCAAATCCCACTCAGTCATCCACACAGTTTGACAGGTGGCTCTAGTCTGAGAACCAAGCTGGACTGCCCGGTGACTCCACAACTCTCCCCTGGCCACATGGGGACCAGGGAGGGAGAGGTGATGATCAAGTAGCCCTCTGCCCACCATCTAGACCTTGCTCCTCCCTCTTCACCTTCACTTTCTATCCTGTTAGTGTGTCCTTGGACTGGGGTCCACCTGCCTCTCTTACACTCCCACTCTAGACGGCAAGCTCTCTGCATTATCACCTCAGTACCCCAGGCCCTTCCCTGAAGCCACAGAAAGGGGTCCTCATTGTGGCCGCATTGGCCTTTTGGAGGTTTCATTCAGTTGGTTTTGTTAAGGCTTGGTTTGTGGGTGAGAAGGGTTGGGGGCGGGGGTGTCACTTATTTCTCCTCTGACAGGTCACGCCTCTTCCAACTGTCTAGAATGTACTTGAGCAGGAGACCCAGCTTCCGGCGGGTGGAGAGCGGGGCTTCCTCGCCACCGCCCTCCCCAGCGCCCCGTTTTTCCACCGCGCTGTCGCCCTCGGCCTCCAGGCTGAGTTCCGGCTGCGGCTCATCCTCCTCCAGGGCCTTGATGCGGACCCTCTGGGCATCCTCGGCCATCTCGTTGAGGCAGCCCTGCAACATCGTGTACACGGTGCCAAAGCTGATGCCGCCCGCCACCAGCGTGCCGAACACCGGGATGCCCTTCTCGAAGGCCCGCGCCACGCGCATGGCACCGTCCGAAGACTGTGAGTAGAGCCGCAGCACCGTCTCGGGCGACACCTCGTTGGCCAGTGGCGAGCGGATGACAGAGCGCAGGTCGCCCGCCTGCTTGCCCACCTGCTCGGCCAGCTTGGCCAGGGAGTCGTCGTCCAGGCCGAAGCTGCGGTGGTAGCCCCTCAGCGAGCGGACCAGCAGCGCGTCGTCGTAGGCGGCCGCCAGCCCGGGCACCGGCAGGGCCTGGATGACACCGGACACCAGGGCCGTCTTGAGCACCTGCTCTTGGAGCATGTCCTTCTTCTTCTGCAGGGCTTCCAGCGAGATGTCGGGCAGGGACAGCAAGCCGGCGTGGCGCCGGTGGGCAGGCAGGTCATGCTCCCAGGTGGACAGGAGGGTGGGAAAGTCGTAGCGGGCCGGTGAGAGGTTGGACACCAGGAAGATTCGGGGGTCGGCCACGCCGGCCGCCCGCAGCCTCTCCACGCAGTGGTCGCGGATCTCCTGCAGGACCACCGCCTCACTGAAGCCCGAGGGTCGCTGGGTGCGCGTGGCCGCCAGGTCCTCGTCCACCTTGGTGCGCACGAAGTAGAACTTCTTGCCCTGGCGCAGGATCTCCGAGGCCAGGCGACTCTCCACGGCGCCGCAGCGGCGGGGGGACACCAGCAGGAAAAAGTCATAGCGGCCGAAGTCCACCTGCTTCAGGTACTTGTCAGCCGAGCAACCCGGAGAGCCGGCGCCCGGGAGGTCCCACAGGGTCACGTCTGGAAACTGGGGGTGCGGGTAGGGCGACGGCTGCAGGGTGGTCTCCACGACGCCCGTCAGCGCCGCGCCCGGGTCCTCGGCTCCCAGGCCGCGCAAGGCATTGATGAGGGATGACTTGCCAGCCCCCGACTCCCCGGTGACTCCCACATCCAGGCGGGTGCACTCCGAGGAAGCCAGCAGCTCCCTGAGACGCGAGGCGGCCTGGGGAAGGTCGCCCGACTCGAAGGCCATCCGCAGGGCCTCCAGCTCTTCCTTGGCCATCAGGATGGTGGTCTCCTCCTCCCCGGGCATTGCCTGCGACCTCGAAGTAGCCATGGTGGCCAACGTTCAGAGGGTGGCAGAACAGGGAGAGTTACAGGACGCTGGATCCCAGGCGTCTGCAGGAGGAGAAGGGAGCCGTTGGTGCCGCCTGGGCCTTGGGGAGGGGAGAGGTAAACATCAGGGGTGTGAAGGCAGTCTGTCTGGGACCCCAGGACCCTGTCCACCACAAGAGTCCAGGTTCACAAAGGTTAGGAAAGACAACCGGAAACACAGGGAGGAAGTGAGATGTGTGACGTTACGTTGAGGAGACTGCAACCAATGGCAGTAACAAAATGTGTCTGAATTTTTCAATGGAAAACTGGTCTGCTCTATAAACCTTCACCCAATTCACAACAAAAGAACCTGGAGTACATTTCTAGAGAGAGTCAGGGGACCTTGGGACGCCTGGTGTGGGGCTGTCCTATGAAGTCGCTGGACTTCAAAATCACAAGGCTGGCGATTTTAAACCCACCAGCTGCTCCTCGGAAACCCTCTACCACATCGCTGTGAGTTGGAACTGATTCGTCGGCACTTAACAACAACAGGGGGCTTTAGGAATCTCTGGGTGGTACAAATGCTTCACACACTCAGGGGCTGACTGAACGGTTGGTGACTTGAGTCCACTCAAAGGCACCTTGAAAGAAATGCCTGACAATTTACTTTCAAAAAAGTAGTCACTGGAAATCCTATGGGACCCAGTTCTATTCTGAAACTTGTCACTGGTAGGATTTCTATCCCATCTCTGCCACTAACTCACTATGTGGCCTGGGGCAAAAATAAATCCTTTTCTGAGCCTGTTTGCTTCTCTGGGTAACAGGTATAGTGAGAGGCCCACCTCCTGAAACACTGTCTGCAGGGTAACCCCACGGACCCATGTTTAAAAGGGTCCTCTGGTAGCGTAGTGGTTACGAATCGGGCTGCGAACCTCAAGCTACCAGCCATTCCACGGGAGAAAGATGAGGCTTTCTGCTCCTGTAAAGATTTACAGCCTCGGAAACCTGTACAGGGTCGCTATGAGTCGGAACCAACTCCACGGCACATCACTACCACCACCATGCATGAATGCTCTGCTTTCGACTAAAATTCTCCATCATTTTTGAATAAGGGTCCCACAAACTATGCTGGGCCCCACATGACTGCTGCTACTTTTGTTATGGGGGGTGGGCTGGGACGCTGCAGAAGGTAATGACTGTCCAGACACTGGGAGCCAGTCTGCCTGGGTTCAAATCCTGGCAATACCACATACTTCCTGAGTGATTAGAAGCAAGTTACTCAACAACTTTCTGCCTCACTTTTCTCATCTGTAAAATGGGCATCATATCAAACCAACCCAAACCAAATTCACTGCCACTGAAACAATTCTGACTCATAGTGACCCTGCAGTGCGACAGAGAACTGCTCCCTAGGGTTTCCAAGTCTGTGATGTTTTATGGGAGCCTTATCTTTCTCCCTCAGAGTGGCTGGCAGGTTCCAAGCAATGACCTTTGGGTTAGCAGTCCAGTACTTAACCCACAGCTGCACGTGGGCTCCTCAAAATGAGGTTGGTGGTGGTGGTTATGTGCTGTGGAGTCAGTTCCAACTCATAGTGACCCTGTACAGGGTTTCCAAGGCTGTAAATCTTTACTGGAACAGAAAACCACATCTGTCTCCCGAGGAACCACTGGTAGTTTCAAACTAGCAGACCTTGTGGTTAGTTTCAAACTAGTGTGACTTGTAACCACTACGCTACCAGAGCTCCTTCAAAATGAGGATGGTGGTGGCTGTGTGCCATGGAGTCTGTTCCAACTCATAGAGACCCTGTACAGGGTTTCCGAGGCTGCAAATCTTTACGAGAGCAGAAAGCCTCATCTTTCTCCTGTGGAACGGCTGGTAGTTTCGAACTGCTGACCTTGCGGTTTGCAGCCCGATTCATAACCACTATGCTACCAGAGTTCCTTTCAAAATGAAGATACCAAACCCAAAAAAAACTAAACGAGTTTTAGGGCCATCGAGTTGATCCTAACTGATAGTGAACCTGTAGGACACTGTGGAACGTACCCGTTGGGTTTTCAAGGCCCTGATGGCATCAGGGTTACAGCACTTGGCAACTGCGAACCCGAAAGTCCGAATTTCAAACCACCAGCTGTTCCACAGGAGAAAGATGTGGCTGTCTGCTCCCAGCCTTGGAAACCCTAATGAGGCAATTCCACTCTGTCCTAGAGGCTTTGCTGGAAGTTGGAATTGACTCAGCGGAAATGGATTTGTTTTATTGGTTTTGTTTTTAATCTTTACAGAAACAGACAGCCACGTCTTTCTCCCGCGGAGTGATGGAGAGTTCAAGCTAGCAATCTTTCAGCTGGCAGTCAAGCCAATTAAACCCAGGCCCCCGGACTCCTTCAACCTGCTGCTGTCTGTCCCCTCCTGTTCTCCTCTCCGTCCCACTCCACCTGGCAGAACTGTGCCCTTGCCTCACTGCGTCCACCAGATGGGATATTCCTATGTGCCTCTCTTCCCCCTCCCCCTCCCACTCTCCCTAATCCATCTCATGGTCTGGCCTGGGTGGGGCAAGAGGCCCTGGGACAGGTCCAAGCTGCAAGGAGCAGAAAAGTCGGGGTCATAGGGTGTAAATGGAGTAGGAAAAGGTTGGGATTGGGCCTGGTCAGCCCCAAGGGCCTAGCCAGACAGCCCTGCCCTCATGGTCCTCAGTGACTCACCTGTCCTGCAGGCTCTCCCTCTCCCCTCACACTCTCCCTGCTGGTGGGGTCTCCTGCCCTGTTAGCCACCGGGGTCAGGCCCCCCCTGTTGCTAGGACCCATTATAATAGGAAGAAGCAGCTTATTGGACAGTATGTTCTCCTGCAATAATGTGACAGTGATGTCAGGGGGCGGGGCCTGAGGTGGGGCAGGAACCCCACCTCCCAGCATCATGGGATATCACCTTGGGCCCTCAGAATCCCACATGGACACCAAACAAAATAACCTCATTACTATCCTCTAGGAGAGAGTGGGAAAGAGCTCTGGTAGCATAGTGGTTACGAATCGGGCTGCGAACCACAAAGTCAGCAGTTCCAAACTACCAGCTGCTCCGAAGGGGGGAAAGATGAGGCTTTCTGCTCCCGTAAAGATTTACAGCCTCGGAAACCCTGTTCAGGGTCGCTATGGGTCGGAACTGACTCGACGGCATTTAGCAACAACAAGAGGCGAGAGTGGAGGTCTGGTGTAGTGACGTAGGATAAGCACTGTACCACAAGGTCGGTTTGAACGCCTAGGTCAGTGGTTCAAAGTCACCAGCTGCTCTTCGGAAACCCTATACAGTGTCGCTAAGAGTCAGAACCGACTCCACGGCACTTAACAAGATAGAGTAGAGTTTCCAAGGCTGTAATCTTTACGGGACTTCTGGTGTGGCTCTGTAGGATAAGCACTAGACTGCTAGGTCAGTTTGAACCATGAGGTCAAGGGTACTAATTCACCAGCCGTTTCTCAGAAACCCTATACAGGGTCACTATGAGTCAGAACCGACTCGATGGCACTTAACAACAACAGTCTTTATGGGAGCACACTGCCACATCTTCCTCCCTTGGGACAGCTGGTTGTTTAAACGGTCAACCTTTCAGTTAGCAACCAAACGCTTAACCACTGCACCACCAGGGCTCCTTCACACGTGCCCAGAGAGGTCTTTTTCTTTCTAACACCCAAAGTTGTTCAAAATCTTTCCATAGTTGAACATAGAACTATCATGTTACTGTTATATGCATCTAGTCAGTTCGATTTATAGTGTGACTCTTTTGGGTTTCCGAGGAGCAGCTGGTGGGTTTGAACCACTGATCTCATGATTAGCAGCCCAGCATTTACCCTACATCACCTCACCAGGCACATGACCCAGCAATCCCAATCCAAGTTATAACCCAACAGATTTGAAAGGATTGCAAACAAACCTGTAGACCAATGTTAATTGCCACACTTTTCACAATAGCCAAAAGCTATTTTGACAACTCTTGCTACACATTTTCTTTAACAAAGGTATCTTTGGCAGCTGCAAACCTTTTTGTTTTCAACTTTTAAATTTTTTTTTAAATTGTGAATTGAGTGAAGGTTTGCTGACCAGATCATCATTTTACATTCAACAAATCATATATTTTGTTTCATTTCTCGGTGATTACATTCCCCTCCATTGGACAATTATTTATTATTGGCTTCCTCCCTGTGGTTCCTGTTTGCATTCCACTCACTTTCCCATCCCTTCTCAACTCTGGCCTTAGGACAATGTTGCCCTTTGGATTTTGAATGATTGACCTTTCCATGGGGAGCAGACCTTGTTATTCTTGTTGTTCCCACAATAAAGCTATTTACTGCTTGGCTGAAAATTGGGCCATCAGGGTGAGTTCTTTTCCAGACCTTAACGGTGGTAGGGGGCCATAGTCTCAGGTTCATCTGGTCTTTTTCTGACCAAGTAAACCCAGTCTTTTATTTTTCTTTTCAAGAACATCTGGTAGCTCTGGTAGCATAGTGGTTGCGAATCGGGCTGTGAACCTTAAGGTCAATGGTTCGAAACTACCAGCCGCTCCGCGGGAGAAAGATGAGGCTTTCTACTCCCGTAAAGATTTACACCCTCAGAAACCCTGTACAGGGTCGCTATGGGTCGGAACCCGACTCAATGGCACTTAACAACAACAACAACTGGTAGCGTAGTGGTTACAAATCGGGCTGTGAACCTCAAGGTCAGCAGTTTGAAACTACCAGCTGTTCCGCTGGAGAAAGATGAGGCTTTCTGCTCCTGAAAAGATTTACAGCCTCAGAAACCCTATGCAGGGTCGCTATGAGTCGGATCCAATTCCACGGCACACAACAATTGTTAAATAATTTTTAGTTCCACATTTTCTCACACTCTGTCCAGGACCCTCTAATATGATCCCTTTCTGGATAGTTGGTAATGGTGGCCAGGCACCATCAGTTTTTCTGGTCACCGAGTTGTGGATGGAACCTTTATCTTGAAAGAAAGGAAGAGACACCAGCTACAAGCTAGTCTTATTCTTCATCAAGGCTGACTTCATTAAAATGCCACATTTTAGAATCTGGTGTCCTCAGCTCCTAGGCCTGGGAATTTTATGTTATAGTTTGTTTTTGTTGTTGTTGTTGTTTTACTTACAGGGTAGCTTGTGGTGATAAAGCATTGGACCACAAAGTCAGTTTGAACCACAAGGTTTATTTGCTATGTTAATTCGGCCACACCTGCGTTGGATGTCACAGAAAGGCAGGGATTGTCTTGCTCACTGCTGTCTCTCCTCCCTCAAACAGCACAGGATCTGACACAGTAGATGTTCAAGAAAGCGCGTGCTGAATGAATGAACTTTCTTCAAAAAGTCCTCTCTTACCCTCTCCCTACATTGCCCGATATTGGGTCAAGCATCCCTCACCTCCTGTTCCCACAACCCTCTGGGCTCCTTCAGCGCCCCCCTTCCTATGTTAACCGTTGTGGGTCATCACTGTCTGTGGATGAGTCTGTGTACCCCACTGAACTCTGGACATTGTTGGGTCCCCAACGTCAACTTTTGTGTTGCATAACTTTCCCAGTGCTGTGGTAGCGCAAATACCACAATGGGGTGGCACTGAAGATTAGAAATGTATTTACGCACAGTTCTGGAGATGAAAAGGCCAAATCAGAGTTCCAACCATGTGGACTCCTTTGTAGATAGTCCCTGACGTTCCTTCGTTTTTTGACTTTGATAAGAAATCATCAAAACTCACTGAAATTTGAACATAAGGTTTATTCTGAGCAGCTATTCTATATGCATATAAGGGGACCATTTTAACTCCAGACAAGACAAAAAAGAAAAAGAAAACAGACTTGAAGAAGGTAGGTACGATGGGATTTATGAAGAGGGAGAAAAAGATACCAACCATGGGCTGATCTTAACGTGACTGAATGAACTCTGCCCTCCCCACTTTACTGACTTTTACTGAGATCTGGTTGCTTCTAGCCTGGCTGCTGATAATTTGACTCTCCACCCACCCACCTGGTGCCCTGGTGCCGCTGTAGGATAAGCTCTGAACTTCTAACTGCAAGATCAGCACTCCTTGGGAGAAAGATGAGGCTTTCTGCTCCTGTAAAGACTTACAGCCTCAGAGACCCTGTGCAAGGATCACTATGAGTTGGAACTGACTCCATGGCACTTAGAACAACAACATTTAGGACTTCCAAGGAGCAGCTGATGTATTTGAACTGCTGACCTGCTATTAGCAGTCCAGTGCTTATCCTATAACACCAGCTTA